AGGTTCCAGTTCAGAGTGCAGTGGCCTGCACACTTCTGGGCACATTGGCTTTAGGTGGTGTTTACAATGGATCACAGAAAGCAGTGAGCCGAGGCTCTGGGCTATCCGTGCTCGGTGGGAATGACCCTTCAGCCTAGTAGAAATAGACTGTGTGGGTTTGCTGATTTCCAGTGGATGTTGTTTATCTATCATTCATTCAATAAAGCTCTCTAGCCCTGTCAGTATCTTGCTTAAATCACTTTCAGCACATTGTAATTTGAATCCATGACTTAATCAGCAAGTTAACACAGAATCATGGGATTGACACTGAAAGATCACCTAGTCCCTCTCACTTTACAGGTGGTCCACAGGAACTAAGTAAAAGACGAGGATTGAACCCAAGGCATCAGATTCCAAACATCTTCCTAAAAAAATAGTCAACACCACCTCCACCCCGTGTTCCTCCCTTTCACGAGGTATCACTCCTAAGACGACATTCCCTTGTCTTAGGATGCTTCATCAATGACCCAAGGGGCCAAGTGGACAGGATCTTGCATTTTTAAAATATTAACCACTTGAAATCTTGTCATGTAATTATATATAAAGCTGAGAAAGCTGGAGATCTGAGTTATGTCCTTTTTAATCACGGTTCTGGATAGAGTTGCCGGGATTGAGGGTGAGCAGAAATGTTTCTCAGGGCACTCTAAATCCAGAATAACAAATAGGTTTCTCATTAAAAAATATTGAACTTGATGCGATTGCAATATCATTCCTAAAGTTTTCATTCTGGACTCCTAGTATCTGATCAACCCTAAGGCTCCCAAACTTAACTACAAAAAGAATATTAACTCATTCTAGGAAGAAACAAAAGTTTCTTTTTTGTTATCTATTGATAAGTGTCAAGACTGTTTAGGAATGGAATTTTCTATTATCTTTATTCCCTAATCTTAGTCACAGGCTTTGTCTTCCTTCACATTTTAAGCTTAGTGAGCATTTGTGGTTGGCAGGGTCCTGGCATGAATGAGGTTAACAGCCTGACAGTTACTAGACATAATTTGAATGTGACAAGATTAAGAAGGCTTATCTCAGCTAGCTCACAGTTGGGGTCTGCTGTGCCAAGAATGACATCATGTGGCAGAATGAGACCATCTGAATAAATCATCCTCTCTGCCTTAGTCCTGGTTATCTTTTCACCTATGACAACATGTTTGCCCCTCATCTTGCTACTCTTCTGCTTCACCAACCACTCTTCTATTGGCAAGGTCAAGGTCACTGGCTTCCAGGATGCCTGGACCTCCACTTTGGCTGCACTGAAATTGTTTAATACAACAAGCCTGGTATAAGGAGAAAAGCAAGGGACTACAAGATGGGAAACTTTAGTCTACCATTTAATAATTGTGTGTACTTGGACAAATCACTTCATCTCTTGGAGATTAAGTTTTCTTCATCTGTGGAGTAGCAATAATAATACCAATGCCTTGGGCTATTATCATTTCAAAATGAAGTAATGTCTGCAAGAGCACTTATAAAACTATACAGCATCATACAGATGTACGGCATTCGTATTATTCCAATTTAGTTAGTCAACTCCTAACTGTGCTTGGCACATGCCCTTGTCCTTTCTCTATAGCAGTGATTCTTAACCTGGTATATATGGATTCCCCAAGGAGTACATGGAAAGAATTCAGGGGGTCTGTAAACCTGGATATGAAAAAAATTACATCTTGACTTTTATCACTTATTTCAGTTATGAATGTAGGAAACAAACAGTCTTCTGAGAAGGAAAACATAGGCTTCACCAGCCAGAATACCCAAAATGGCTCAGAATCTCTGCTCTAGAGCAATCATATTAAAGAATTGATTGTAGAGATTCAAAGGCTCTTGGACCTAGAACCAACCATGCAGCTCATCTAATCCAATCCCCTCATTTTACAGATGAAGAAGCCAAGGCTCTGAGACAGTCTATGACTAGTCCAAGGACAACCAACTAATGAGGAATGGACCCTGAATCTTCTGAATCATAGAAACTGTCTCAGCCAATGCAAGTATAGCATGTTGGCTCAACTTATGTTGAGTGTTTGATTGACAGAAAACGTAAGTCTTCTGGGTACAGACCTGTGGCCTTTGTGTAAAACTGCTCTTTCAGTAAAATTCAGCAGTGACTCTGATAGTTTAAAAAAATAAATTATAAGATTTTCCTTTCCTGACCCTCCACTGACATAGATCTTCATCAAAAGTGCTTTCTTTTCTTTAGCCAACCAGTGAAATAGAGAGCTGTGCTTTGTAATAACTCATGGTGGCTTCCACATTCTACATCAAGTATTCCATATCACAAAAGGACAATTTCTCTGAGAAATGTTTTCAGAGAAATGTTTGTTCTTTGAAGTGGAAAGGCAACTAATCTGTGAGTCAAGAGATCTGGGTTCTATCTCCTCCTCTGTCACTAACTCCTTGTATCAAACCACATCTCTTGCCTGGACCTCAGTTTCCACATCTGATCCAATCCTCATGTGGGATTTGAACTCAGGTCTTTTTTAACTCCAGGTCTAGCTCTCTATGGACTGTGCTACCTAGCTGCCTCAAGAAAAAGACAAATACTTTAGACTTTAAAAAAAAAACCAGTTAGTATAAGGTTGGAATATTGTAGTAGTATAGGAAATGATGAGTTGATGGACTTAGAAAAATATGGAAAGACTTGGACTTATAAAGGAAGATGTTATCCACCTTCAGAGAAACAGAACATAAACAACTATAGTATGGTCTGATATAGATGCATATGAATGTACATGAGTATATATGTGTATGATTATAGATATCTATGCATGTGTATGTAAGTGTATATGTATGTATGTCTATATGTATGCATGTGTACATGTATATGTATATGAATGTGTGTGTGTGTGTATTTCCACACCTAATTGTAGCCTTCTTGAGGGAGAAGGGAAGAGGAAGGGAGAAAAAAAGAACAAAGTAAAAAATGCACAGCAGAGAGCAGAATGAAAAACCTACAAGGAAGCAAAGAAAAGGCGGACACCTCTGAACACAATGTGTAGTATTTATTATATAGGGTTTCTTAAAATGGAAAATTATTGCCTTATATTTTGCATCCTCTTATGTTCTGCTGTATACATAACAGTGTTTTTTTTTCTTTTCTTATTTTGTATTTAAGTTTAAAATTTTAAAAATTATTAAAGAAAGAAAAAAGAAAAAGACAAATAGTGAGACTGGAGCAGTGGAAAGACCCCTGAGCACCGGAGAGCTGGACAAGCTGGGTTTTGATCACAACTCTGCCAGTATCTAAAGTGATGTTGGACCAAGGTCTTTCATTTCCCTGGGCCTCAGTTTCCTCATCTGCAGGTTAAGGGGCTGTATCAAATGATCTGTAACATTCTACTAAGTCTCTAGCTCTGCAATTCTGCAAATCCTCTTCAAAATGTGGCTTTGATATTTTACTAAAAATGTTACATTCATACACACGTGTATATCTCTGTGGGATTCAGATTTTTCTGTTGACATGAAATATATATGAGTTGTTAGATATGCTACAGCCTTCCTCCTAATCCTTTTTGGAATTATACCATGCATTTTCATGAGCTAAACTTATAAACTCAAAGAATAATACTTTCATTTGAGTTCTACCTTTGATCTAAAGACTACAAAATGCTCGGCACACAGTAATTTTCCATGAAAAGGTAAGTGTTGAATGCTTTTTTAAAAATTCGTATTAATTAAATGCCATTCAGCTTTTCCCCCATGAGCCTTATTATTAATGGAAAATAACAAAAGTAGATCTGTTAAAAAAAAAACAACTCAGGGAAATAGAAGAATCTCTATAGATTTCCTTCCCACTTCACAATCAAATAAATAAAAAGAAATTACCCTCTTTTTGAGAACAAGATCTCCGATTTGCTAAGCGTGTCTAGATACTGCTGTTGATTGATACCATTGAAGAGAACTTGCTGGCAAGAGTATTAAAATTGCATTTGTCAGCTTGTAACACTCCTTGAGGCATTTTTTTGACACTAGCAACAAGGCAGTAGGTTTTCCTTGATTTTCCCCCCTCACCCATAAGTCCCAGGAAGTATATTTGTTCAAGAACAAAGCACTGCTTGGTATTGATTGCTTTTAAAAGATAAGCTTGCTCAGACCTACAGGTCCAAAATGGCACCACATCCCTTTTGCAAAACCAACACCTAGGTGAAAATTCAATTTTATTCTGGGGTTCAACATTTTCCTAAATCAGTACGATGTGCGCGCTTTGGGCATTTCCTTCAATTTCCCCAAATAAACAGTCTTCTGAGTGTGCCAGATATACATCAAAATTCCTGCTTGCAAAGAGAAATTCAGATACAAGGATATGGATTTCAGATGACCAGCAGTAGGTCCTGGGATGGATATTCAGGGTCAGCAACATCAACATTTGGAATTAACACATCTCCAGCCATATTTTAACACATCATTAGAAAAGAATGAATGAGAAAGAATGAGAGAGGATATCAGAAACATAACAGAAAATAGGGGGTTAGTCACTGGGATATTACTCTCCTATGTATTCTTTCTGAGCCCTTTTCCACCCTATGTTACTTGCTCTTATCTTTAATCTCCAAATCCCTTTCTCTCCCACAGACTACACCCTCACTTCAATGGGTGATTTCACTAGAATTTTTTAAGGCTTCTACAAATAGGTAAAGTCAATGTTTTGAATCAAATAATTTGATGTTTTAACTTGCTGTGCACTTAATTGTATTAAAAAATACATGAAGCTCAAACTCTCCTCACATGTATCCATCCCTAAACCAAAAAAGGCTGATTTCATGGTCCAGGTTGCAAAATGAGCTCAGATTACATTTGGTTCCCATCTAAGGATATAAATGGACTCCTGGGGTTTTCTGTTCAATGCTAGCCAAGTTCGCAAGTGTAATATTGGAATCCTTTCTTTTTGGAATTAACAATCACATGGCTGATTCCCCAAAGGCCCTCCCTCCTGAGGGCCAATCCTAACCAGCCATCACTTTCATTACCTGGGTCTTCTGGAGGTGGCTGTGGTCTGATTTCCTGCTCTGTGATGATTTCTGGAGGTGGAGGTGGTGGGGCTGGAGGAGCTTTGACAGGAGTTGTTGATTCCGGAGTCTCAAATGCTTCTTCAGAGTCGGAACTCCTGACCAAAACAGAGAAAATAAGTTGATTTTCGTAACTTATTCAGATGGAAAAGTTTCACAGCAACTACAGTAAACAATGGAGCTTTCCAACAAAACTGATCAATTAACAAGCATTTATTAAATACCCACTATATGCCACTGGGGCAGCTAGACGGTGCAGTGTATAGAGTGCTGGGCTTGGAGTGAGGAAGGCTCATCTTCCTGAGTTCAAATCTGGCCTCAGACACTTGCTAGCTGTGTGACCTGTGAGAATAGTGGGCAAGTGACTTAACTTTGTTTGCCTCTGTTTCCTTATCTGTAGAATTGAGTTAGAAAAGGAAATGGCAACCACTCCAATATCTTTGCTAGAAAAACCCTAAATGGGCTTATGAAGAGTTGGACATGACTGAAAAAATGACTAAGCAAACAAAATGTGCCACTGTGCTGAGGGATGGGAAGACAGAGAAAGAAGTAAAACAGCAAGCAGCTTACAAACGTGTGTGTACGTGTGTAACAACACGTACAGGTATGTTTAAAAAACATACAAAATGATCTGGGGAGAAGGCACCAGCTGCTATTACAGGGTGTGTGGAGGGGAAGGTTGGGAGGAATCAGGAAAGGGTTCTTGTAAAAGGCAGCGTTACACGAGCAGAACCAGGAGAACGTTGTACACGGTAACAGCCACAGTATACGATGGCCAATATTGATAGACTTGACCCTTCTCAGCAATACAAGGATCTAAGACATCTCCAAAGGCCTCATGATGGAAAATGCTATCCACATCCAAAGAAAGAACTATGGAGTTTAAATGCAGATTGAAGCATACTATTTGCTATTTTTTTTCTTCCATTGTGTTTTGTTTCCTCTTTCTGGTGGTTCCACCTATTGGTTCTAATTCTTACTTATAACATTACTAATGTGAAAATATATTTAATAGGCATGTATATATATAGCCTATATCAGATTGTGGAGGGAGGTGGGGAAGGAGAGGGAGAAAAATTCAAAACTCAAAAAAAAAAAAAAAAGGTGGCATTTCAGCTGAGCCTTGAAGAAAACGAATGATTCTAAGAGGAGGAGGTGAGAATGTGGGGCACTGTGGGACAGCCAACGTAACGGCACAGAGAAGAAACATGGAGGGCCACATATGAGGAACAGGAAGAAGGCCATTTTGGGTGGGTCATAATGTGTATGAAAGTGGGTAGATCATAATGTATATGAAATGTGAATGCAAAAACACCAAAAAGACAAGTTAGAGTCAGGTGGTGAAGGGCTTTAAATGCCAAACAAAGGAGTTTATATTTCATCTTAGAGATGAAAAGCAGTCACTAGCATTTATTGAGTGGGTGGGGAGGTAGATGGGCATGGGGCAGAGGCAGGGTCATAGTCAGAACTGTGGTTTAAGAAAATCATGTTGACAGCTGTGTGGGGAACACATTGCAATGTGGAAAGGCTTGAGGGGAGGAGGGGAGATCAATTAGGAGTTGATCTGACTAATAAAATGTAAGCTCTTTAAGGAAAGGGATGGTTTCTTTTTTTTTTTTCTTCATACCCCAGGACAGAATCTGATAAATAACTGGAGCTTAATGTTTGTTGCTTGCGTGATTAACCTTTGGATAAGTTTCTCAGTTTCCAATCAGGTTGGATATAGGGTAAAAATTTTATAATTTTATCAAAATAATTTGATAAAAATAAGAAGCAGCATGCTTCTTAAGGGAGAATATCATAGCCCTGTTCCTCAACGAATACCCACTTTAAACTCAATTCTATTTGAGATGTGTGTTTCCCAGCTTTGCATGGAAAGCTAATACAATGAGGTCTTTTTGTGAACTTTAGGAACATTTCTTGGAATACAGTAATGGAAACAGATGAAGAAAGAGTAAGAGGATTTGTCTGTGTGTGTGTTCTGAGGAGTATTTCTTCTAGGGTTTAAGTATAATATAAGACCAAGAGGTTTCTGTATTATACGAAGACCCACATGATCGCAAATTCAAAGCACAGGGGCTTACCCTGCCACAATATAAGGCAGAAAAGTGTGGTCAAAAAGCCTGCAAGGAATTTCACTGTCAAATTAGGTTTCCACTCGAATACAAAACCATCACAAGTGCATGTCCAAGGTGGCTACACTTTGAAATGAAGAGTGACAATTTTACTGAAGAGCATTAAGAGTGCTGTTCTTGGTTAAAAGAGAGTAAAGTACAAAAAGTACTTTATGCACAATCCCTTCCTAGTGGAACTCCAAATGCTGTACAAAGCATTCCCTCCCCCCCAACATTCTGGTTCATTGTCTATACTACTGTGAATATCCTGTCTTAACAGAGGAGAATGAATCCCCCAAGTCATATATATAAACAAAAAAGCATTTATGAAGTTCTTCATAGTACTTGGCTCTGTGCTAAATGACAAGTCACAAGTCAACCATAATGGCACCAAGAGAGTCAAGTACTAACATCAGCTTTCACGTGTCCCATTTCGTTATCTTATCTACTCAGCCAGGTTGCCCAAGCCCAATCTACAGTAATAACCTAGTTAGGCTAGTCTGTCCCTGAAGGCCAAAGCTGAAGTTAAAAGTAATCATATAAGCCACCAAGTCCAATTCCCTCGCATCGCAGATTGAGGAAACTAAGGCCCACAGATGTGAAGTGACCAACGGCACACAAGCACTAGGAAACAGAGTAGATACTGACTCCAGTTCTTCTGATATCTGTTAACAAATCTTTCACAAACAGACGAGCTCACAGTAATCTGACTCTCTCATAAACTCCAAAACATTTTTTTCTGTTATCATTCATTTGGCATTTGTTACATATTTCTACAGACAGTATGGAATAATGGGCAGGATAATGATCTAGAATCTAGAACTAGGTTCAATCCTCACTTCTGATGGACTGAGTAGTTTTGGGACAATGGTCTCTGGGCCCTAGGCAGGCTCTCTTTAAGATGATAAGTTGTCATCCATTCTGACCCACACTCAACAAAGACATAGGTCATTGAAGCATTATTTTCTAAGTCTTGTCTCCCTGTAATTCTTCCTGAAGACAGGAATGGCCTCTTACATTTCTTTATATCACCTAGACCATCTTCACGACAAGTAGCACTCAGTCAATTTTTGTTGTTTGGATGATTTGACCTGATTCTAACGCCAGAAGTGAACCAGTTTTGATTTTTCCGATTTCTGCTCTTCAGATGTCAAAATTCCTTGCTCCTGACAATTTCCATGATTATCCAGCCACAGCAATAAAGGAAGGATTGAGACAGAGAAATTGATGTTTTAAATTTTTTTAAAGGCAGAATCCACATGACCAAGTGCCAGTGGAAAGTTTTACCTAAACTTCGCTCTTGCCTAGCACTTGGCACGGGTGCATGCAATAGATGCTTAATAAATATTTATGGCATTCTATTTGTTGTACTTTGGAAAAAAGACTACTCTGGAGTCAGAGAAACTCAATTCAAATCCCACCTCTCATACCTACTACCCAAGTGACTTTGGTAGTTACAGTAGTTACAACATTGGGACCCAAAGAGAAAACAGGTTTTACACACTTAGACTCAATATCCGGGCTGCCAGGTTCTTCTTATTTCCATCCCTAAGTCACACCCCATTCTTACAGATCTGTGGCACACAGTGACCGAAGATTAGAACAGTGACCTGATAGAAGAACCAACTTGCCTCCTTCCCGAGATTCCCTGTAGGACTAAGAAACTGTAATCTCCATTGCTTCTCACAGCCGTCCACATCCAACATGCCCACTCGATGTGAGACCAGGCATGCCAGGAAGCAAAAGCCACGTCTCCTGAAGAAAATGCCCCACCAACTAATGCCTTTGCTGTTTTCCTTCTACAGAATCCACAGCTCTTTAGATTTCCCCAATGTTGGGAAGGGACCTCTACAATTTTAACCACTATCCCCAGTTACCAATTTCCTGGACTTATCTAGGTTCTTAGATGCCTTTATACCATTCTGCACCTGCAGAAGCGTGAGCAAAGAAAGTGTTTCCTACTGCATTTGCTTCTGTCTCCCTCTGGTTCAGCAGCATGTGGTTATTGGAGCACAAAGGACCTGGCTCTGTCTTGACAACTCAAGTGGCATGATGGACCGGCTACCCTTTCTTGTCTCTTTTGAATTCCAATGAGATCTGTGCTCCTGCAGTTGCCTCGACCATGTCCTGAAGATGGCCATCCATCACAATACCTGCATAGAGTCCCATCAGGGGCCACAAGGACACAAGCTATCGTTCCTGCTACCTGTTTACTCCAACTTGCCAGTTAAAAACACTTTGCCACTATCAACAATTAGCACTGCATCAACTTCTTTCAGTTCACTCTTTGTTTCCAAGCATAAACTCCTGCACATTTCAGCAAACTCTCTGGGTAGCAGAGAGCAAGTTAATTAGAAGAAGCGGATGGCAGCTTTTTTAATGAGCTGTTTTTCAGTATTCAATGGCCTTGTGCTCAAAAAAGTATTGCAAGACCTGGAATCTCTGTGTTCCACCCACAATGAGTCTGCACATAAAAATATAGCAGCATTTGTGAGTCCCAACAGCACAGAAACAGTAATTTTTATTTCCCCTACTAGAAAAACAGTGTTCTCTTGTAACTCCAAAATGAGGTTGATTTCATTTGCCAAGATTGAAATTGGAGAAACTGCTTATGTATCAGAGAGCGATACAACCACATAACTTTTCCAGATTATAATGACATCAGTTTACAAATGTATGGAGAGAGTATTTGCTATGTAGGTGGCATATTTCAACACTCCCCCCCCCCCGCAAAAAAATCCAACTTCATTAGTTTCAAGATTTCCTCCAGAGAAAGACTGTAACCCTTCCATGCCTTAGTAGGCAGCTGCTATTACTAAAACAAGGGGAGAAAAAACACCACCACCAGGCAACCAGCCTTCTGGTGCTGAGCCTCTCTACACTTAGAGAGGCCGGTTTTCATATGACAATCTATTCCCCCACTTATATTCAAAGCTGTACCAATCTCCTAGCTGAGCTTTCTCTGGCACTGACTTTGAGAAGCA